TTTTTCAACTGCTTAATGCCTTCTTGCGGCTTAGCAATGTATAAGCAGAACATATGTGCATAAGTTCAGAATTATTATGTATTAGCTAGTATCAGCTACTACTCTAGCTTATCATATTTCTATAACACGCAATTTTTACAATGGTACTTTCATGACTCTTCACTATAAGATTTTGGCCAATCAGCAGCAGTACAAACCAAAATCTTATAGTGAAGAGTCAGCAGTAGTACAAACCCAATGGTTTGTACTACTGCTTACTGCTACTTCAGAACCTGAAAATATGTATATTATCTGTGATAGGGAGCGATAATGATGGGATCTGGACAAGGGTACACTCCTCTCAAAAAACAAGGAGTGTTATGCAGACCATACACCACAAGTGACGACGGCCTTCAAGTAAATCTGGTTAGAAGTGGTTCATAGTGATAGCTGATTTTTGGTAAATGATAGTTGTAATTAGTGACAACTGATAGAATACAACTGCAACAGGCTAATCATTTCATTGGCAGAAAACATTTACATTTTGTGGAGGCCGTCGTCACTTGTGGTGTATGGTCTGCACCCGACGCTCTTCTCGTTTTTTGAAAAGGAGTATACTTGATCAGCCGAGTTGTGAAATTATTAAATCGAATTTATGAATTTTGACTGATGGGCCTTACCGCTCTGATGACGATCTCTCCGGCCATCGATAAATCACGATCAAACCATGTGTGCCAGAGACTTCGGGCATAAGTTACTGCTCCAACCTAAAGTAGAACGGTTGAGTCTCGACCGTAGTAAATGTCATCTAATAACGTTGATGTAACGATTTTGCGGCGCTCATGTCCTTAAGTGGGAACATTGAAGTGAATAGGCCACTTATATACCTTAATGATTTTGAAAACCTAAGCACCAAATAAAAGATTCGACTTGGCTCAGTCTAGCTCCTTATGGACCACACGTTCTTCTTCTTCTTCCAGCGTTTGTCCCGCTTAATGACGGGGTCCCTATGGCATGTTGACGAACAGGGTGAGAGGCCAACTGATTTCAGGTCTTCGTGTAACGTGTCAAGCCAAACGCTGCTTCGGGCGCCCCTCAGGCCGCTTCCCGGCCACATCAAGGTCAAAGCTTGCCTTGCGAACACTATCATCATTCGCGCGGAGAACGTGACCGTACCATCGAAGACGAGCTTCTCGCGTTTTGTCGGCGATAGGAGCTACTCCAAATCGCGCTCTTATGGCATCACTGCGAACTGGGACCACACGTTCAAGCGAAAAAAGCACTTTCGGAGGAATAGGTCATTAATGTTGAGGGAGTGTGCCAACTGAAGGGATCATACGCGCGCAAGTTTGCCGTGCGCAGTGCATTAAAAGCACGAGTAGTGCACAGTCATACGTCTGTGCAAGGCTTATACTACTCTTTTATACTTTTCCTTCAAAAACACCGCAAGTAGGGGTACCCCACAGGAGCCCCGTCACGAGGCGAAAGGGCAGAGACGCAGACAGTCAGCGGACGAGTCGCAGCGCGTGCTGTGTGATGTGGGACGTACTATAGTACATTCTATTAACTTGACGCGAAATCACTGCAGTACGCGCTGCGACTCGTCCGCTGACCCGTCTGCGTCTCTGTTTCTCGCCGCGCGATGGGCCTCCTGTCGGACACCCGCGAACGGGCGCATGCTCCTGTTGGCACACTAGCGAGCCTTGATCAACTAACTCACGCCCAGATTCTTACGCTTATATTTTTTGTAATAATTACGGAGCCTATCAGGTTGCCTCATACGCTTTACAAAGGAAAAAACCTCAAGGCGCTCACCTGATTGTAACCTTCTGATCGCAGCTTGGATATTGGTTTCACCTTCAGGCACGGGGAATCGGTGTGCGTAGCAAGAATTTTGAACCCATTGCCTTTTTTGAACTGACCACCGATTACGAACGCAACGATGGTGGATCGATTCCTCAAACGCCAGTGGTTCAGCCGTTTTCATTCTTTACTCAATGTGATTAGCCGAGCAAAGCGAACCTTGTAACGAAGTATCTGCCGTTAGGTTTCGTATCCCAGCGATCGCTTTCGGAGAGCTCTTCGAAGCCATTTTGAATGAGAAGCTCCTTGCATTCTCTGACGGCTGGAATTTTTGGTTAAAAACACGAGACTTCTTCATGTGAAATATTCTACTACTGAAATCGGCTGAAATGACTTCTGTCCGTTCATAATTGTATGGGCGTTACAAGCACCGCACATCTGCTCATCAGTGCAGGAATTGCGGTACGAAATCTTCCATGAGTAGCACCGTACCATCTACAACTTGTTAGAACATGTGTAGCGTTCTCGCTGCTTCGGACTAAATACCTAAATAAGCGCGCGATAAGGCGTAGCCAGGAAAGGTAAACCGTCCGCTGGATGCCTCTCAACTTTTCACCACCCCACATTACTCTGAGAGGGTCTCGACATGAGCTCCCCTTTCCACAAGACGGGGAGCTGCTCCAATTTGCCCATTACATACATCCTTCCGATAGATTATCAAAGAAGAAAACCGTCAGGAACACCCGCTCTACTTCTTACCCCCTCCGCTCGAGTTACCGTCTCCACTCCTACAACTAGACTGAAATCTCAAATACAGACCGTACTCCGGAATGGGTTTACCGGTAAATTCAGGCCAGAAAGGTGAGATGGACCTCGGTCTACGGCCTATGTCAGCGCTACCGATATATTGCTCCTCACACGCCAACAACGCAGCTAGCTTACATAGCACAGAGCTTCAGGTCCCCATACCTCTTGCGAAATCTCTGGTCCCTCTGTTCTCATGGCCCATTGGGGGCTCTTAAGCTGTTTCCTTTACTAAAGGGGAGGGCCAGTCGGTAGCTTGCTATCTAACAAACTTAGTCGATCGGTCGCAGCACCATAAGAATTACAAAAAAAAACTAAATTTCCCATCGGTAGGTACTACCGTACTTTTGAAATTTTTCACCACCTTCGAAAATTTGAGCGTTATTCATTATGATGACTGAACTCGTTCAATTTCTGAGGAAACATGAAGACTCGCTACTTGGTTCTTCTACGGGAAGATAAAAAGACTAGCCAGATCAAGTAAAGTCAATCGAATGTTTCTGCTTTACCTGCGTCAATTTTTTCTTGAACAGTTACAGAACTTGAAAAATTCACCCACCGTGATAAGGAGTGACCGAATGGTTTGATGAATCCCACTAGATCTTCTGCCATGGTCATACCCTCGCCATCACCTAAAAAAGGAAGGAATGCACATTTTTTCCATTATCTCTTATGATGCCAAGATTTCTTTTGTACCTGTTGATAGGAAAATAAAAATCTAAGCTGAATAAAATGGATCTTCATGCCAGTGGGAAAAATACAGGGATTTTTGAATCGTTCGGCAAGCATTTCACAAGGACTAGAAAAGTAAAGGCAAAAAGGGTCACGCTAGTATTGGAATTTTTCATACAATCATTTTATTGAGGGGGAGGGGGAATCTTCAAGAAAGCCTTGAAGCAACTGGTCAAGGACAGAAATCTGCTTGCCTTGAAAAGGTTCGAGCAGCATTCGATCCCGTGTTACTGGTAGCTGCACATTTTGCAGCTACACTCCCCTCTTTTGTTCCTGGCCTAACCCGGACCTTTAATATGGTTCTAGTTCACAAAAATTGTTTCTTTTTCTTCGCGAATGGGCTTGTATAATTGCAGCAAGTTTCCCTACGTGGCATTCACAAAGAACAGTATTTTCTTTCAATACGATAAGTTCGAATCTTACGTGACATTTCCGCGGGCTCCGGTTGGATGGCAAATGGCCCAAGAACGCTGAAAGCAGGAGTTTTCCTTCCGGCTTTATCAGTTCATTCACTGAAGTTCTCATAGGCCATAGAAGCCTTAAAGACACATTCCGCGACTGTAGGGATGTGGATACTGTGGCCCATATATACGAACTGTGCCTACGATGTGGTATGCCAGTGTGGAAAAAACGCAGAAACTAGGGGATCACCATAAAAGGTAGTTAATTTGGGGCTCTCTGCGAGGTCGAGCAGAAGGTTCACTTCGGAGAGCTCTTGACGTCAAAGGAAATAAGATAGATGATATGTAGTTCCGCTGACACAACTCTGTCATCAATTAGAAGTGGAGGGATAGGGAGCGCGGGTGAATCAGATCCATGATTCCCTTGCTACATATACTCTATTTCGGAAGACGAGAAGAAAATCGAGTGCAGACCACACATCATAAGAGACGACGGCCAAGAAAAGGCTTTTTTCTTGGCCGTCGTCTCTTATGGTGTGTGGTCTGCACTCGATTTCTGTCGTATTCCGAAATCGTGGAATGTGTCTTTAAGGCTGAATATTTAGAAGATGCAAGAGTTTCCGTATGTTAACGAGATTTC